ATTTTTCTCTGACATAACATACCTTGAGCCTCGGAAATAGGAAATTCTTCAAACTTTCACGCAGCCTTTCGCAACAAGTGAGTTCAATTTAATTTCGCGCGATACGTTATGCAGGCAATACCTCAAATGTAATTCAAACAAGATAAAATGCCATGTGAAATTAATACAGGCGGCATTACCGCGTGGGCGTATGCAACGTACGCCCGTCGTCGTTCTCCGGTCTCTCCTTCTTTTTGCACGGGATCGGGAGTAAGAAAGCTCGGGAGGAGTACCCGGTCTGTCAAGGCCAGCTGTTGGAGGGCGAACTACTTGATTTACGCCTTTCTTCCATCTTCGCTCGCGGAACATCCTCTTTACCTTTCCCCGCCTTTCTCTTATTCTTCTCCCTGAATGCCCTATTTCATCAGCTTAATTCGCTGGAGACGTGAGTGGTCCTAAGTGTTAATAAGCTAACTTTTTGTCTTATTTTTCACTTGTAAGCAGGTTTAAATATGATAACACCAAATACAGACCACCGTAGCAATTTTCTCATTCACCATTTGTGAAGTTTGTCATTTCCTACGTATTAAAGTAATAATAAAGCCTATCACGAAGTACGAAGGTTTCGACTGATTCGTTACCCGCATAACTTTTGCCTCTTGAATATTTCCTCGCAGAGTCTTAACGAGTTTCTGATTCTTAGAAAGTTTCTTAGGAATGATTATATTCGAGGCTTGTAGTTGCAAAACTCGTTAAATCCACTATGAGTTATTTTGAGCAGAGACAAAAAAAAAGTAATTGCTTGTCTATGAATTATAGCAAAGCCAAAGATTTATGTATTAATATTTAAATCAGCATGCTTATTTAAATATTGACGGACGAAACTTATATCTTAAACTACATTTATATATGCTACACTCTCTTTATAATTATTTCTATTTACTCTTCACGCGTATCAATATTCTCAAAGTCATAAATAGATCTGGAATGTAAATTATATTTCATAGAGTATAACTTTATGGGATACGTTTTTATGTACGTTTCAGATAAGCTTTTTCTACGGGGAGAGATTTGCGTCATATAATTTTTTAGGGGCTACATGGAGAGGGTGGTTATTTTGTTTGTCTGCACTGTGGTTGTGAACTGCGGAGCGAATCTGTTTACTACCCAGTGTTGCGGCTTGGGTATAAAAAAAAGTCTTTCGTCCGCATACGGAAAGAGAGAGAGAGAGAGAGAGATGATAAATTTCTGATATAAACTGCCCTCGGTTTCATATTCCTTCCTTCAAAAGCTCTTCAAGGATGTTCTTACTGCCACCTGCTATTACCGTAAATTATTGTCATCTGTCATCGGCTGCAACAGTTTTTTCAACGTTGCAAAATTATATCGCATGGATATATGCATTTAATATACAAAGTAAAAATTTATTTATTAATGAGTCATAGTACAAAAAATAGAAAGAGATTGTATTTAATTTGTGTCTTCCTTCTTTTATCTTGTCATATATTTTGTTTGAGTATAGAAGCGCACATCTTTTCCATTACTCACTATATCTATCTCGCTTTTGAAAAATCGAATATTCAAAAGTCGAATATTCAAAAAAGGAGCATCTGTTCTTTATTTCGGCGCGGAAACACGCAATAGTAACGTCGTCGTCAAGGTTTATATGGAGCATTCTGCTTTCTGTTTCAGCGTCAAGACGGACATGGGTGCAGCTGGAGCAGTGTCTAGACTCTACATTGCAAATGCGAATAAAAAGGATAGCGGGAACTACAGCTGTGCCCTGGCGAACGTAGCAGCAGCCACTATGGTGTCCGTCCACGTGCTAAACGGTATATTTCCGCTATGAATATTTTGCTATTTCGACGCGCGCGTTTCCATACGCTTGCGATATGCAACGCAGACACGAAGAATATCGATGTAAAAATATCAATTGTCAAGAAATTTTTTTTTTTCAAGAGATTTTACTTTTCACTTTGTAAACGCTTTTAGTTTAAGTTTCACGTGAAGTCCATTGAGGAGAATTAGAATTATCGGAGAAGTCCGACGTATTTCTCGAGAGCGCGAGAGAAAATTAGTCTTAATGTGCAGTTTGAATGCCTCTGGTGATAATTCATCGCCGCGTTTCTCTTAATTGTGTATCAGAGAACATTCACCCGAGCAATCAGCCGTATTCGAAATCTTAGTTTAAGAATCAGTCTCTGTTCGCTACCGATAACGAGAGAGACCCGAGGGAGAGAGGAAACGGAGGGCGGCCAGTCAGCCCTGTGAGGGCGCGCGACGCCTATCGATATAATTTTCCACCCCTTTGCACGGTCGATAATTGATTTTCCACGGCTTTTCAACGGCGCCAATGCCTATTACCGGTCCCCCCTTTTCTTTCCTGCAACGCCTTCCGTTTCTCAGCTTCCCGCCCTCCGTCTTCCTCACGCTCCGAGAAGTCGGTCGCTCTGTCGTTCTTTTCTTCCTCCGCACATCTTCCTGCGCCAATCGATCGTGTAGAGAATACAAAGCTGTGATTTCATCAGGGTAAATAACCGGCGCCGGACGCGATTGAGACGAAGCCGGCTCTGTCGTTGACGGGTCGCCCGATCGCTCCTCGCGATCTTCACTTTGGTTCTCCATTTCCGTTTTGTCAACGAGTTTCTTGCAGCAAATGACATTCCTGACTGTATTAATAGAAAATAGTCCGTCTCTCCGTGACGCGGAGGCGAAAGATTGCCTGGATAAAACAAAGTTCTATATATATATATATATATATTGGAGTGTCATTAAGACGCTGTTAAGACGCTGCTTCTATTCTTAATACCATCACTCGTGCTTATTCATATTCTTTTTGTTCTTCATGGGTAACTCGCGCTGTTTCGTGCTCCTACCCTAATACTAGCGCATGGCGTATTCATAGAAAAGTTCGTCGAGTATATTCAGGCTGACCCATTTCTTCTTTCTTCAGCCGGGCTGTCTTCCTTCCTTTTAATCTTCTTTATTCTCACAGCGTAATCAAAATAACGTTTAAAATGTATATTATTCCCGTAGTGCGGCTAATTTTTGCGTTTCTAATTTTGTTATGGAAGCAGCGTAAACGCGGAGAAGTTTTATCGCGCGAAAACTGACACACAGGCAAGGTAGGATTAATTTATCGTGCCGATAGATCATTCATATTCAAAATTATAGCTAATGTAATAATTTGATGGGAAACTAGACAAATGCAATCATTCTTCCGCGGGAATTAACATAGATAAATATTGATGCGATTTCGCTCCAGTTAATCGAGTGCGAATGTATCGTTCTAATTTGCCGATAACAATCTGTACCGCGGAGAAATTAGATATGTTTAACTCGATCTGTTTTTTTTTTTGCCCGCCGAGCAATTTTTAGCAATATTGCTCCAATTTTTGATCTATTGCCGGACGACGATTCTCCCCCGTTTTCTGCCTAGCGTTTTACTCTTTTATCTCGTACGATGACGTAAACCGCGAAAACTTTCGTATCACGACGAAATAGCACGTAAGTCGAGTCGATGACGCGTGCTCTTGCGGGAAATGCCGCTAAACACAGGCTTTATAGTGGCGGATAGGCGATGCACCGCAAGGCGATCGATACTCGTAGGTTGGGAAACGTCTTTCGAACTTATGGCGAAAGAGCTCAACGAGTTTTCATGGCGGCTTTTCGCCCTCCGGGCAGAGCGGCTCCGGGCAGAGAGACGCCGCCGTCTATATAGGTGATGTGCATTATCTACGGCGGATTACCTTAAGTCGGCCCAATACGAGAGTTCGATCTTCTCCTGGTAAAGTTTGACGAGGGAGCACTCAAGGAAATGCTTGCTTACGATATAATCCCTAGTTCCTTTTTGAAAAAGGAATGTTAATAATCTTCGGCGGCTGCTCGACCGATGATGAAGTCCGTTTCGTCGCAATCAAAAAGGCGACACGGCGAGACCGCCGGCTGCCTCATTTAAATTTGTATGCACGTTTTGGCTTTGGCATTTACTACTTTAATCAAAGGCGTTCGATCGACAATATTGCGACGGAATTCTTGACTATGTTCCCCCGACGAAAACATATTACCAAGCAAAACAAGCGTCTTATTATCTGGCGCGCGAGGCATGAGCCAGGCAGAGTTAGAGTAAGCCACCGTTACCGTCGCGATGAGTATGCGGAATGCGCAAGTCGGAGAGTTATTACCGCGGGTGTTGTATGCCAGGTAACTACAAGAGCGATCATAATACTGGAAGTAATGCGAATTTGCTTGACAAGTAGTTGGACGCTCGAGGCTCGCATTCGAAAGTAGTTGTGCGGCGGCGGAGAGTCGATCCACGTCCTGAAATTTCGCTAGTAGCTCTATGCATTCCGACGAAACATTTCGTACTTCCGCGGCTCGTCCGACCGTTTATAAATGTGATTGCCGCTAATGATGTCCGTGCGAGTGAATAATTCGCGAAATTACGACTGTGGTCATCTTTGATCATCGCGGCTCGAGCCGCGTAGCGCATTCTAATGCGCCCCGATCGATCCAAAATCGATCGATACTTCGCGCCGTGCTTTGCATTAAATGGCCTACCGGATTCCAAATGTTCCCCTCTTTTATCGGAATAGCTTTGGAAGCTTACAGCCATCTTTGGCAACAGTGCCAACAAATTATATATAACATATATATATGTACGTATATATATATATATATATATATATATATATATATACTACTAGTACG